CACACCCCCCCCCCCCCCCCCCCCCCCCCCCAACAAACAAATGAAAAATAAAAACTCATGATGGACGGCTAATATGATACTTAAAGCTGAAATACCATCACAGTATCTATAGTGAGATCAGACTTCATACTCAAACAAATAATATAACATAACACCACCCAAATTAAAAATGTTCAAGTTGCATACGAGCTAAGAAACAAAGAGACGGGCAAGTAAAACTAATAAACATGTGCCTAATAGATTGACAGATAAATGCTTCATAACAATTCTAATCATATCAGCAAACAAGCAATCGGTTAAACCATTACATATCTGTAGTTTTTGCATTGCAGCCACAGTCATAAACACTACATATAATGAAATACGTTCTAAATACTTAAAATATAACAACTTAAATCCAAACTCCAAGCACAGTAGAACAAAAAATTTAGGCTTAACATCCAAGACAAAAAGATAATAATAATAAATCCAATTCGATTTACAAAGATCCCCTTAATCCAGACAGACAAAATTCAAGAACCTCAATTGTAAAATAGATTATCTGAATCGACTAAATCGAATCATCAAAAAACCCATTTGGATTTCCAACAATTCTGATACCTATCAAAAGAAATTATTTTTACCTTAGAAACCCTGGTAATGGACTGTTCAGGGTGGATGACAAGCCCAGGAAGAGGAAGGTAGCTATTTGAAGCCATCACGCAAAGTTCCGCCATCTATTTCGTTGTCAAGAGAAACCCAGTTTCAGAAACCACTTTTAGTTTCAGATACCATCTCTCTCTTGGCTATTTCCTTTCCTTAAGGGTCACATCAGAATCAGGATTATCTTCAATTGCACCGCAAAACAAGTGCCCTGTTTAATCTGGGAATTGTTAAAAAAGGATAATAATTATATGGTGCGAGATTCAAAAGACTTTCGTGTGGCAACCTTGGGAATCCAGGTCGCGATTATTAATGAAGACAAAAAGTTTTCAACTTGTTCTAGCCCGTTTGACCCTCATTACCTAAAATTGAAAATGGGGGGATAATGTCCCAGCGCATATTTTCCAGTGGCAAAGGGGAGGGCGGATAGGGTTCAGCGCGATAGTGTGTAGAGTTCGATTTCCCGCAAGGTGGAATTGACTTTGTTGCAAGCGGGAGTTGTCATATGGGTTAACAGCCTTGACCTATCCATGTGCTCTCCACCCTGACTCCTGGGAGGCACATCCTGCGATTTACCTCCTCCACGATGATCTAGGGCAGGGTCGGTGGGGGCCCTTAAGGTTGGGGTTCAACCTTTTTTTTTTTTTTTTTTGAAAATGGGGGAATAATATTTTTTAGAAAAAATGAGTTATTAAAAAAGAAGGAAAAATTTTCGATTTACGTGTCATATTATTTTATGAAAGATTGTGTGATTAAAAATAGGAGAGAGAAAAATAAAATATGATGTAATTGAATTTAATGGGGATCAAACGGGGGCTTGTGGATTATTCTCGAAATTGTCAGTTCAATTAAGGTGAGCTTTATTATTTCCTTATTAAAAATAAAAAATATGACTGTTATTCATCACATCAAATCATCATATTTGACTTTTTATCTCTTGTGTGGGGTTCATAACGGCTATATTTTTCATTCTTATTTTTACAATAATGTGGCTCAAATGGGAGCTAAAACTTTTAAAGGTTTTTAGCGATTTAATAATGGGAAAATTGCAACAGCAGCCTCTGACCTTTTCAATTTTTGCAGATTTTACCATAATCTTCATTTGTGTCAACGAAGGTAATTAACCATTCATAAATATACAGTCGGAGTCCAAATGGATGTAAACCGTTAGTTGACCAAAAAAATAAGGCTTCGACCAATTTTGACCAAACTAGAAGGGGTAAATTGATAAGTTTAAAATTGTCACATTAAGCCCCCGTTTATTTCCCATTCTTCCCTCAATAAAATAAAAAATATGACCGTTATTCATCCCATCAAGCCGCCAAATTTGAATTTCTATCTCTTATGTAGGGCCCGTAACGATTATATTTTTCACTTTTATTTTTACAAAAATGGGAAACAAACGAGACCTAAATAAATAAACAGAAATTTAAAAAACCAATTTTTTTTTTTAAATGGTTTCTCCTTCACCCTACCCATCCCCAGCCTACGCCCAACAACTAAAAATCAGCCACCAACACTTATCGCTACCTCCTACACCACCACCGCCGATTATCTTCTTCACCCCACCACCGGCCTCCAAATCGCTCCACCTATCCATACATAGGCACTAATAAGATTTTCCTCCCAATCCTTCTAAGAAATTAGGTAATCCAACTCAAATTTTTCGATTAACAGTGGGCCTGTTTGTTTACCTAGGTGAAAATGCTCAATAAAGTTTGGATGGAGTGCCCGTTTGTGAAATAATAGTGCCGAAACTGAAAGATATCTGGACAAAGTACTCGTTTGTTCACCCGGGTGAAAGTGCTCAAAGGAGGGATCTTAGGAAGTACCATGATAGCTACATATCTAATTCGAATTTTTAAAATGGAACGTGTTGAAGAGGAGACATTTGTTAATATGCTTATTGGGGTTTGAGAGTTGGCTCCAAATGGTTTAGTATAGGATAAGGCATTGTTTTTCTGGTTTTGTTGGGGATGTTGATTTTTGATGTTGTGGGATGGTGTGGTGGTGGCCGATGGATGGCGGTTGGCTACCATTAAGACGATGGTGTGGCCTGTGGGGGCTTAGGGTGGGGTGAGTGGGTGAAGAGGCTGGGGATGGGTAGTGTGAATGAGAAACCATTTTAAAAAAAAAAATGGTTTTTTAATTTTTTGTTTATTTATTTGTGTGATAATTTTAAATTTACCATTTTATCCCTTCTAGTTTGGTCAAAGTCTTATTTTATTGGTCAACTAACAGATCCATTTGGACTCCGACTGCATATTTATGAAATGTTAAAGACTTTTGTTGATACAAAATGAAGGTTAGAGTAAAGTCTACAAAAATTGAAAAGGTTAGGGACCGCTGCTACAATTTTCCCTTTAAAATTTTTAGAGATATTAAATGTATAAAAATTTTAGTGTATTCAATCGACACTTTTAAAAATAGTCGTCATTTATTCAATTTAAAACTTTGTAAAAGTTTTCACAAGTCTCTGGATATTCAAATTATTAATGACTTATATAGACGTTAACTTTTAGCCCACGTTTGGCCCCTTTTTTGAAAATGAAAATAGGTGAAATAGTATTTTTTTTAAATGAATGGTTGAAAAATAAGGAAAAGTTACGTGTAATATTATTTTATAAAAGATTGTATGATTGAAAATAGGATAGAGAAAAATGAAATGTAATAAAATATAATTTAATGAAGACTAAAAAAAATATTAAAATAAAATCTCAAAATTTTAAAACACTTTTAATAAAAAAATAATAATACTATGTATTTTTTGTTCCTTTCAATATCTCTCTCTCTCTCTTCCTCCGTCCCCCCTTTAATCATAATTAAATCTTTTTTAATTGATTATATTTATTTCTATTTTTCTTCTCCCTCTCTTTTTTTAATCTCTATTTTATATTAAAAATTAAATTATAACTAAAAATTCTTATTAAATATTTTTTCTCTTTTTTAATCATTTTTATGAAAAATATCTATTTGTAATTAAAAATTATATATTTGTAATTATAAAATTTTATATAAAGAAAACTAATTTATATATTGATTTCTTGTTTACTCTTAAAAGTACATCATAATGATAATATTGAATATTAAATCTTTTATACAAGAATAATGTAACATATATATTATTTAGATCATTATTTATTTAATTAAAATGACTTAAATTTTTATTCTTTCAATATTTTTTTTTATTATGTGAAGAGCTGAAAGAAAATTATGGAAACCCCACAATGTTCTAAACTCACATGAATTTTACTTTAAATGAAAGTTTTCGAAAATCTTTTGCATTCTACAAAAATTTATAAAGGTTTAAAATGAAAGACTCCATTAATTTGATACAAATCCACTAAAAGTCCATGAAACCCTGAAAGTCTAACAAGTCCATAAAAATTTTCAAAATTTAGTCTTCGTTGGTTTTTCATTTTTGAAAAAAATGAGAATGAAAAATATAGTCTTTACGGATTCCACACAAGAGATAGAAATTCAAATTTGATGGTTTGATGTGATGGATAACGATCATATTTTTTATTTTAATGAGAAAAGAATGAAAATCAAATAGGGCTCACAATTGAATACACCTTGTAATTTTTATTTCTTTATTATTTTTGTACTTTATCTGTTTCTAGAGATTCAGAATTGGAGCCGGCATACGGGCCCGGTTCGGCCTGCCACTGCCCGGGAAATAAATGCAACAATTTTCTTAGCCCGTCAGTATTTCAAGGTTTTTAGGCGCACTTTACCTTCCTCGATAGTCCATGAAACCCTGAAAGTCTAACAAGTCCATAAAAATTTTCAAAATTTAGTCTTCGTTGGTTTTTCATTTTTGAAAAAAATTAGAATGAAAAATATAGTCTTTACGGATCCCACACAAGAGATAGAAATTCAAATTTAATGGTTTGATGTGATGGATAACGATCATATTTTTTATTTTAATAAAAAAAGAATGAAAATCAAATAGGGCTCACAATTGAATACACCTTGTAATTTTTATTTCTTTATTATTTTTGTACTTTATCTGTTTCTAGAGATTCAGAATTGGAGCCGGCATACGGGCCCGGTTCGGCCTGCCACTGCCCGGGAAATAAATGCAACAATTTTCTTAGCCCGTCAGTATTTCAAGGTTTTTAGGCGCACTTTACCTTCCTCGATACTTATCGACGCCCAATTTCTCTCACACAAACGAGAATATGGTGATGCATTTTTCTTCATTCTTTTGCATATTTTTGTTTGCAATTTAATTGGATTGGGTTAATTTTGATTTGATATGCAGTTGTTCTTCTCATACTTCAAGGATTTGGTGGGACGAGAAGTGACAGTGGAACTAAAGAACGATTTAGCCCTACGGGGAACCCTTCATTCGGTGGATCAGTACCTCAACATTAAGCTCGAAAACACTAGGGTTGTTGATCAAGATAAGTACCCCCACATGGTAATACTTTCTCTTTATTTTCTCTCAATTTTTAGGGTCTAGAGTTTCATTCTAGTGAAGATCTTTATTTTTCTGTTTTAATTACCTAATGTTATTTAGCAGTTCGGTTTAGTGACTGATGAAATTTCTGTGCTTTTGTGGGGAATTTGGAGTTAAGAGATTTAGTTGATTGTCTTCGTAGCAAGTTGATTTTTGGTACTTTTCGTATCTCCTGGGTATTCTCTGCGATGCCCATTTTTTGAAAGTTTGCTTGCAGTGTAGAGCCAATCCGAAAAGTAAGACGCCTAGGAAATTTATACCAATGGAAAAGGGTTTGGGAGTGATTATGGAAATTAATGATTGTGAATAAAATGAAATTTGGTTCCGAGCTTCTGTTCGAAATAACCTTAGAGGATTTAAGTTTAGTTCCACCACTATAAGATTAATTAGTTTCCAAAATGTGTAATTATAGTATCCTTTACGATCAAATTCCCAGGTGGGATAATAGTCACACCTCCAAATACCATAAATCCAAAACTACAGGTAGAATTTTAAGTTCTAATGGTGATACAAGTATACATTTTTATAAACAGAATAATGTCTTAAGCGTATTTTTTATTTTATTGAATTATTTGGAATCCAAATTTAAAATTTAACGTCTTTCTGCCCAGTGGATTTTTCGACTGCTCTATTACTTTTCTCCGGTTGAGTTGTGTAGATATCACTTGCGCAACACCATAAAACCCCATCTCCCCGCGGAAAAAAAAAAAAAAAAAGCTGCCTGAGAGAGAGAGAGAGAGATTTGACCATCAACTAATCATCTGAGAAATTCTTGTTTGAACACTGCGTTCAAATCAAATCTGCAAGAAGATTTTTATGCATGTCTCGTATGAACAATCAGTACCTGTTTCTTATTCCCCCCTCATCTCAAAAAAAAGGAAAAGGAAGACAAAATTGTGTTGTGGGATTTTTATGTTCAGCTTTTCCATCACTTTCTCATTCTTGGTATTTTCTTGGGTATGTATGGTATAGTGTTTATATATTTGTAAGATAAACATTGTGCAGTGGATAATCATATCAATTTTCAACACATAATTTAGCTCTCGAATCACCACTTTTCAGAATAAAATTTGCAAATGCAAAATGGCTCTTAGATATAGAGGATTGTTGGTGTTGGCGGTTACACAAATGATGTGCAACTGAAAGTGTTTATTTACTGATTCATACCCATTTTTGGGCATCATTCTATCGCTGCTTATAGCGTACCGTTTTGGAACCACTTTTAAGAAACTCATTTGTAAAACACACATATTTGTTCCTAATTACTTGAACTTTCGGTGAAAAAAGTTGTGAAAGAACATTGTAAAGTGCGTCCGAAGTTAGATTTCAACTAAGCTTGATCTATCTGGAGTCTCTTGGTGTAAAAACCTTTCCTTTTTTTCTTTTTGTTGGGGGTGGGGGTTTATTGCACACGAAAAGGTTTGGATCAATATTGAAGTGATGCTGCATAAGACAAGGCACCATTTTTAACTTTTTGAGCCTACATCATTGCTCTTTCAGTCTGATACAAGTGTTGCCAAAATGCTCTATCTGTGTGTATGTGTTCTTTTGTCATGTACTTTGGCTGAAGATGTTGAAATTTTGTGTCGATCATTTGTTCTATGGCAGCTTTCTGTGAGGAACTGCTTCATCAGAGGATCAGTGGTGAGGTACGTCCAACTGCCACCAGACGGAGTTGACGTGGAACTGCTTCATGATGCCACAAGAAGAGAAGCTCGGGGTGGTTAATTTCAATTGCCCATTCAGTTGTCACAAAAATGTCCTTTGGATTGATTTATCTGTAGTGGATTTGTCCTCTGGAAAAATTTGAAACTTTTTACTCTTTGTTACTAAGAAATGTTCCGATTTCTACATAATAGTGTGACAGCCAAGAGGACACTCGTGTTTTTAATTTGAGATATGGTGCTCGACTTGCAAGAACTATTAGCGAAGTAAAACAAGTTCAATTGAACAAATGATGGGTATGTCATTGAGATTGACTTTGCCTCAACTATTTCCCCCTTTCGTGCTCCATTCGTATCTATTCGTCGACAAGTCCATAGTGTACGATCACAAAAAGTTGGTTTATTAGTCGCATAAATCTTAAATTAGGACACTTAATTTCTTTCAGTTGTATGTTTCAAAATTTTTGTATGATTGTATAATATTTCTATATTTTTCTCACTAGATCAAAAAGAACCCATGGCTTTGTTAAAGTTGAAATTAAATTTTCGAAAAAAGGAAAGTATTGAAATTAATGATTTTATATTTGGCACTGCTCTAAAGTCTAAAATTTCCATTTTTGGATCATTACTTTTAAATTGAACGGCCAATTACATATGGAAAATTAACCTTATTTTGTTATGAAAATATAAACCCTATTCACTCTCCATAATTAAAATGAAAGATCTTTTTTCTTGCTTCCTAAGAAATTCTTCAGTTGAACATACTCAAAAGTTTTCAGAGTTCAAAGGGCAAGGCGGATTTTATTAAGTACTTTTCTTTATCAAGTTTTTTCCAATGGAATATAACAATCACGAACCGGTAACCCTTTATTCCCCTTCTCTTTGTTCAATTTTAATTTTTATGGGCATTTTTGATACATGATAATGGACGGATGTATATTATTCGATCTAGTACTAATCATGTGCAGTTTACCTTACCAAACAAATGATAAACAAGCTCTATGTAAATGCAGACTAGTGTTTTCAAAGTGGAGAACATTTGCTGTAAGCTTTTTCAGAAGAAACTGAAGAAAGAACTATCAAAAATTCCTGGTACTTTTTATTGGTTTTTCTGGACATTGATTTTATTTTATTCTTTTTTTTTTTTTAAATAAAAAATAAAAATTCTGGGTTCTAGGGGTGAATAAGGTTGCTGTAGATTCAGAAAGGAGTCTTGTACTTGTTAAAGGCAGAGTGGATCCTATGTTTGTCACTGCCATTATAGCAAAACTAGGCAAAAATGCAGAAATCTTGTCACACGACAGACAACCTGGGAATAACAGAGAACATGTCGATCAAGAATACCAGAAAAGGGTGCACAAAGACTGTTCTTGCCAAGATTTTAATGGCCACAAGATGGAAGAAAACTTTCACAGATTTCATGATCACGTTAGTCGACATGGTCACAAGATAGACGAAAATTTTAACAGATTTCGGGATCACATTCGACCAGAGGCTGGCGAACATGTATTTAGAGACGAACACTGCAAAATTCATCATCCAAGGAATGTGTATCGCGATCACATGCCTGAGAGGCAAAGTACAGACCTATTTGGTCATTTTGCACAAGGACACTATCGTGGGACAAATTTTAGGTTTCGAGACGGGCATTATCCATTCATGGATGACACATACCTTCAGCCACCGATGATGCCACGGCCAATGCCTGCATATGGGTTCGGTTCAGGAAGGCCAATGCCTGCATATGATGATTGCTTCACCTCATTCAGCGGTGAAAATGCACAAAACTGCTCAATAATGTAAAGCAGTTGTACAATGTCTGGAACTTCATTCTTGTTGCCCTGAATTTCCTTACTATTGGACTTGATTACAGATTTTCTGGGACAGTCTGAATGGTGCTATATCGTGTTTTTTAGATCCCGTTTCTACTTATCTTGACAGAGATTTTCCGTTAAATTGTATTGGTTCTGAAATTGAGGTGAATGTCTCGCACAGTATGAAAGTTTTCATCTTTATTTCTGGCTTGTAACCCAATAATATGCTGGATTATATATGTTTTTAGGAGTAACAGCTTCAAGACAACTAAATTTAGCATGAACTTGACAAATTATCGGTCATGAACTTGTTGACATACTAAGCAAACCAATTCAGCATATCGCTATGGGCTTCTTCAGCAAATTTCACAGCCATTTCATCTTCCAAATTGTACATAAGAATCCATCTATGAGCAACACCAAGAAAGATTTTCACAAAGCTAGCATAGTATAGGGGAAGACGACTCGTGACTAGTGACTAAAGATATATGAATTCATGACTCAAGCTTTTGTATTGATTAAGCATCATACATATATAGGTGCTTATGCTTAAGTGCTCATACCTTGGATTTAGAGGACAAATTTTCGTTTTACAAGTGTCCTTGTTCCTTTTAATCATGCCAAATTGCCAACGAATGTATTGAACAATTGTTCAAAAGAATGTTCAAAGTTTAAACACAAAAGCAAAACATAGATCATATTAGCTTTCGTGCTTTAAAATGAGGTAAGTTGAGACGTTTGTTATAGAAAAACGAATATTCTTTGAAAAGATGTAAATCATGTTCGACGAAGTTAAGTAGGAAAACCTCATGCTGGATGCTTCATAACCAAGAAAGCATAATACTCCTATTTGTACATTTTCCAAGTGGACCAATCTGCAGTTTTCCTAATTGAAAGGACCAATTCCGCACCTATTTGATAGGTTATCATATATAAAATGTTAGTGCTGATACCTTTTTCATTTTTAAGACATAAATTAATCAAAACCAAAAGAAAAAGGGAAAATTGCACCCGAGGTATCAAACCTTTAGTTTATTAGCAAACTTGATCAAAACCTTTCATTTGCAACACTGAAGGTACCAAATCTTTAAAAAATTCTCACCCGAAGTCCAAATTGACAGAAACCATCAGTTTGACTATTATTGACAAAAAATCAAAAGCCTCACCAATTGTTGACTATTTTTTAAAAGGACAAATGTGTAACTTTACATTTTCATATAAAAGTTAAAATAAAAGAATTATATTAAAAACCAAAAAATAACAAACTCCAATCATCTTCTCCATTCACCCCCACATCTCCACTCCCCACACCCACCAAAACCATAAACCATTTTGCACAAGTAAATGAACAAAACATCTGGTCATCACCGCTATAGTTTGGGCATTCACACAAGTAAATTAACTAGGCATTTGATGAGTTTTCACCTTCTTTCTCCCAAAAACAAATCCACACAAATGAACTTAGTATCGATGGGCAAAGAAGGGCTTTTATTTTCTTTCTTCCAATTTTACTGATGGGTTTTTGGAGAGTGAGGAAAATTGGTTGTGGATAGCGGAGGAGGTGGTGAACTGAGGCTTAAAGGGCAGATGAGGGAATGGATGCAATGTGTTTTGGTGATCGGAGATTTTTGGAGAGTGAGGAAAATGAGTTGCTGGGTTTGAAATTAGCTTTTGAGATTCCGGTGAAGCTTCCGACGAGATTCCAATTTTTGATTTAATCGGTAGATACCTGATTTTTGGTTTTGGGAGGGGTGGGATGGGTTGGGGTGGAGAAGATGACTGGATAATTTTTTATATGAAAATGTGAAGTCACTCATTTGCTCTTTTAAAAACCAGTCAACAATTGGTTGGGTCTTTGATTTTTGGTTAATAATAGTCAAACTAATTGTTTCTGTCAATTTGGATTTAGGGTGTAAGTTTTTTAAAGGTTTGGTACCTCTGGTGGTACAAATGAAACGTTTGGGTCGAGTCTGCTAATAAATGAAAGTTTTGGTACCTTGACTGCAATTTTCCCAAAGTAAAATTCCAAAATTGACTTCTTCAGTCGTTTCGAATTATGTTTTGTAATGCACACTAGCTTTCTTCACCACTTCAATCTGAATCCGCTTTATTCTAAATTTTAGAGATTCATACACGCCTGTATCTTAATCTGCTCTAGAACAATTTTGAATTCTAAAAATTATGGTGACGGAGGAGCAGCGGTTGTGGGATGGAGTTTTGGAGCTGACAAAGGCGGCTCAGGAGAAGGGCACCGACCCTCTTATTTGGGCCATGCAGCTTTCTTCTAACCTCACCGCCGCTAGAATCTCCATGCCCTCCACCGAGGTGGCGGAGCTTCTTGTATCGCACATTTGCTGGTCCAACAATGTACCCATAGCCTGGAAATTCCTTGAAAAGGCTCTGACTATTCGTATAGTGCCGCCTATGTTTGTTATAGCGCTTCTCTCCACTAGGTCCATGCTGATTTCTCTTATTTAATTGATCACAGTTCACAATCTCACGTGTAATGTATTTATGTGTTCGCATAATTTATTTTGTGCAGGGTATTACGCAGTCGTGGGAGGTATCCGGTGGCTTATAGGTTATACTTGGAGCTTTTAAAAAGATATGCTTTTTCGTTGCTATCTCTAATTAATGGCCCAAACTATCAAAAGTAAGAATTCATTGTCTTTCTTAGTTTTGGCGATCGAATTATTACCGTTTGATAGATAGTTTCAACTCCCAGTTCTCTTTATTTGTGATGCTTTATGTGTCGTGTACTATTTTTACACATTTTTCATATCCATTGCATATATGGCTGGGAAGAGCATTTCAACGATCATCTACTGTTGAAGCCTTTAAGGATGCATTTTGGTTAAAAATATAGATGAAATGCTTCGAAATTTTGAAAAAATAACCACAAAAAAACACTATCTGGGATATTATGAATCATCTAAGCAGTCTCTATGCGTTGCACGGTGATATTTGTGGATGAAAAGTAAGTTTTCATTGTCAATTAACACGTGATTCTTTGACATATGTTTGAAAGAGTAATATATCAATTTGTGCATTGGGGCAGAAATCACAATTTTGGGCTTTTCCCGCTTCACACTTGAAGGCTTTCTGTGACACGAAGAAACTCTTCTGACTCCTATCCATTGGTTGCTTTCCCTTCCACCTCTGCTCGGCTGGTCCCTGAAGTTTTTGTTCTGCCTTCATTACCAAATGCTGAAAGTGTGCTTCTCAATTGGATGATGCATTCTTTTTTCTTATGTTACATCCTTAGCCACCATTCAGGATAGCCAAGATATTGAATTTAGTGCCCTGTGTATTCGTGTAACCTTCAATTGGTCCAAAAACAGAGATATGGGAGGAAATTCTTATTTGCTAAACCAAGTGAAATCTTTAGAACTGGTCACATGGAATATTTATGCAAAGCAGGAGTAACAAGTGACGCCGAAATAAGATCTGCCTATGGAATACATACACCTGTTAATTACAGCTGGTTCTCTGAGATATAAAGAAAGCAGGTGAAAAACAACAGTATTAGTACTCAAAGAATATTCCAGAAGAGCAAAGGTTGATTACAAAGGGTAATAACCGATTAGCACTAAGTAGTTATTTCTCTAACACAAGGTAAAAACACATTTCTACTTGTGGAAACAAGTAATGTTCCTTTCCAATTGACATGTGATTCTCTGACATCCGTTGAAAGACTAATAGGTTGTTGGTGCATTGGGACTCAGATAGCAATTTTAGACCTTTCACGCTTCAAAATCGAAGGATTTTCTATGATACCTTGACACTTAATTTGTTCTACTCTCTATTTAGTGGAAAGTTCATGTTACTTGTTGGACTTCTACCCCTTGGACCACTTCCCTTCCACCTCTTCTGGTCCCTGAAGTTCTTGTTCTGCTTTCATCACTAAAAGATGAAAGTATGCTTTCTTGATTATGATGCATTCTTGTTTTACTTACCTAACCGGTTGTTCAGTATTGACAAGCTGTGGAATTTAATGCTGTGTATTTGCGTAATCTTTAAGTGGCCAGTACTGTTCTTTGCTTAATATATATGATATATCAGTGTGTGCTCCATCTTCCCAGATTTAATGTAACCCCATGTTTCCATAAACCATATGTGAACTTCAAGTGTTAAATTTCACATGTATCCTTCTTATCAAGGAGAAGAACAAATCCATAATTTAACACGTTTTCATCGCAAGTTTGACTCTTCTATTTGATTTTTACTGTCCTTTTTCCTATTAACTCATTAGAATTGCGAATAATGCAAAGATGGTATGTATTAAAGTAGGGTATTTTATGAAGCTCTTTCTTTTTTGCTTCTTTTCTGGAAAATCTGAAGATCATTTGGTCGAGTACTTATTGTTTCACTGAACACTGAGATCCTCGTCAAATTTTCAAACTCGTGCTATCTCTGCCTATAACATCCATTAATTCATTTTGCTGTTGGGCAGGGTTTCCAGTCTAATAAATTAACTAACTATTGACATTTACTTCAAAGTAGTCAATAAGTACAGGTCTTGGTAGCTCCTCAAACAGTGGTAGATTTCCTCGGATAATGAACCACAGCGGAGTATTTGATCTTTTAGAAAGTCCTTTGATGTGATGCTTAGGATCAGACAGGAATAAATAGTTTATTTCCTTCATCTGCTGGATTATAATTGGATGCTGAACTGAATAGAGATATGGGGTCTTTCGTTCCTCAGGAGAAACTACTCTAGCATGCAGTTTTTCATTGCCACCAAAAGATGCCGAATTAATGAATTCCAGGATTATGTACCTCTTAGTTTCTCAAAATTCACAGTTCTACCTCCAGAAATTCTTCCCCAATATGTTTTGAATTTTTAGTTGAAGCTCGTAAATCCTTTCGAGTGCATTTCTGAAATATATTAATGGTCCTGTATAATACGTTTTCAACGTAAATGTTTGCATCCACTTATTTTAGTTAAAATTTGATAATTGCCTAGATTTATTTGTTTAGTAACTGAACAATCTCAGAACAGTACTGATAATGATGCCAGAAAGTCAAAAGAATTGCCGGCATTTTATCTAATGAGCTTGAATTATCAAATGTTTTGGCACTTAGAACAAGTTTTTGTTGCCAACTTGCTTGATTGCTAATTTCGATCATCCAATTGCAGGTTTATGGAATCCATAAATGCTGTTCTTCATTATTCCCAGATATTTGAAATTCAGTCATCCGAACCTGGGATTCATGTTGTTGCATTTATATTTTTCATTGTGTGGGAGCTGCTTGATGCATCTCTTGACGATGAAGGTTTGCTAGAACTCACATCTGAGAAGAAATCAAGGTGGCTAGCCAGGAGCCAAGACATGGAAATAGACAATCCTGACAGCTTTGATGGGAAGAGAATGGAATGTCAACAAGCAATGCATAAAATGAATACTATAACAGCTCTTGAAATAATTGGTGAATTTTTTCGGAATAAAATAACTTCACGGATCCTCTATTTGGCTCATAGAAACATGTAAAATCTTGTTTCTGTTTGTGTTCAGCTTAAAGTATTTGCATCATTCTATGCTGAATGCGTCTTGAGTAAATACCTAAAACACCTCCAAGAGGCTCTTTATTAACTCCATACTCTTTATTTAAAGGAGTCAATCCTCTTTTTGAGGAGTCCAACAAACTCTCAATATGTAAAAAATAAAATGAAGAGTGGATTTGTGTCTCCATAGATAGCCATACCCATTCTCTATATACTGCTTTTAATCCTTTCATATATTATTTTACAAATTTCTATGTGCCGTTATCATTATCTATTTATTGATAATTTTAATATTTTACTCCTTTTATTGGTACCTTTTTTGGTTTTTATAGATACTTTTTTTCTCCTTTGAGCAATAATTTCTTATGGGAAAAAGAAAAATAAAAACAAGTATGGTGTTGATGAACTTGTATAAACAGTCTTTGTTTATTATTATTATTATTTTTTGAAAAAATCTTCAATATACTCATTATATGTAGAAAAAAAACATGTTATTTAAAATAAAGAACGTTGTTGGAGATGTTCGTTGTAGTTTCTTGAGATTTATATTACTCCCTTTGTCCCATGAAAATAAGCTTATTTCCATTTTCACATTGATTAAAAGAACATAATTCATATAGTTGGAAATATAAATTTCACTTACATTTTTCCTAATATTCCTCCACATTAAATAATGATTTAGATAGGAATAGTTCATATTAGAAAACTAAGAAATCAACTATATTCTCAACAAGGAAAGTGGCCTAAGCCTATCTTTATGGGACAGAGAGTGTACAAAATATGCCTGTTGGACTTCTGCATGGTTATACACTGTATTTAAAACACGTGTTTCTATGTTTTCTTTTTAGGCCCATGCATTGGGAATGCTTTATTCGGAACTTGCATCTGCTTGCTGCTCATTCGTCATCTTTAAGAAACTCGAAACATATTTCTCCAGAGGCCCTCTTGCAGTTAACAGCTGATACACATCAAATCCTATCTCGTAAATGCAGAACAAATTTACAGCAACAATTTCATGCTGTAACAGCTGGGTCTCCTATGTCTTCTGCTGGTCAGTGTCATGGTGTTGGCCGTTCAGCACTCTGGCTTACTATAGATCTTTATCTTGAAGACACAATGGATGGAACACAAGTGGCAGCTACCAGTGCTGCTGAAACTCTTACAGGTATAATTAACATAAAGTGATAGTTTTACTATCCATACATGCTATTTATTTTAGCATAGGTTTCTGACACAGATGAGTATTTCAGATTTAGTGAAGGCTCTCCAGGCATTAAATCAGACCACCTGGCAGGATGCATTTCTCGGTTTGTGGGTTGCTGCTCTACGTCTTGTTCAAAGGGTGAGAACTTATGTAAAAAAGGAATGAGAGAAATACTTTTTTCCCAATCTAAAACTAAGTGAATTCCGTCTTTTCAATTCCCTTGGGATTGAGGAAAGATATGCTATGTGATGTGATTGCATTGAATCCTAGGAGTAAAAGTGGCAAACTGTGTAATTTCCCTGCTTCTTGCTGTGTTTTCCAGAGGCTGGCTGACTCTGTACTTGGGAAATTTCTGTTTCCTGTATAAAAAGAAACTGAAAAAATTTGTTGTAGTAGTTATCATATATTTTTAGCCCCTTGCTAGGAGTTATCACTTATTTTCTAGTCCATTACTAGTAATATTCGAAGTCACAAGATTTTAGCTTATTCACATGTATTGGCAGCAGATACAATTTTCCCTATACCATCTGCTGATACGCTTTGATATGTTACTGAGAGAGTGAGCTGATAAAAGTTCTAATTAAGACACAGCATTTGATATAGATGTCTTGGGAAGTTTTCCATCTCTAGAAAATTCATTTTTGACTATCCAATATTATGATATATTGCTTTGGATCTGTTCAGGAAAGGAATTCAAGCGAGGGTCCAGTTCCTCGGCTTGATACTTGTCTGTGCATGTTATTGTCTATTACGACACTTGCAGTTGTCAATATTATTGAAGAGGAGGATATTTCTTTGATCAGTGAAACTGAACGAAGCTCCATCGGCCAAAGGAAAGATGTACAGCCTGTGGGAAAGCTTCGGCGAGACCTAGTTTCCAGCTTACAGCAGTTGGATGATTTTGAAGGCTTGCTGATTCCACCACCTCCTGTAAGTTCATTGGCTAATCAAGCTGCTGCAAAAGCAATGATATTCCTTTCAGGCATAACAGTTAGCGGTGGACACCTTGATGGCAATTGTTTGAATGACATGCCTGTGAACTGCTGTGAGTGATCTCCTCATCATCTGCATGGAAGTGAGAATGATTTTAATTTTTTAATTAGTTGCCTGGAATGCTACTTTTTGCAAATTTCTAGTTCATAAATGTGTCTCTTTGGAAGTTATTCGGTCATATATTTTTTTAACCTGAGATTATTAAATTTGCTATCGAATTTGTTAATGTCCTCTTTTTGAGTAAATTCTGCCCAGTCATTCCTGTATAGTGCAATACTTTTTGCTTGAGGTCACAAGGGAAAATAATTCTCTATTTTCTTGTCTACTGCCATTTAATTTAGTTATCAACTTATTCGTATGGTGGATTCCTATTTTTCGTGTCTCCATTTCCTCTGTTTTACCTTCATATATACAAATATTATTTTCCATTGCTTTTGATGTCTTTTTGGTCAAGTTTTTTCCATTATAACATGGAGAGAAGGGCTTAGGTTGGTGGGGGTGCAATAACATATTTGTTTACATATGGTGGATAATATTCCCTATGGTTAATTGGCTCCTCATAATTTCTTGTAACCATTTACAGCAGGAAATCTGCGCGATTTGATTGTTGAGGCTTGCATTGCTAGAAATGTGTTGGACACATCTGCATATATGTGGCCTGGATATGTAAAAGGTCGTAGCAACCAAGTTCCTCGAAGCATTTCTGGACAGATGCCTGGTTGGTCATCATTAATGAAAGGATCCTCCTTAAGTTCTCCAATGGTCAGCGCCTTGGTATCAACTCCGGCTTCTAGGTTGTAACTTCAAAAGATTTTTATATTAGTTCTCTGGCTTGTTGTATGATATATTGCCCCAGAGGTAAAATAGCTTTGCAATGATTGATCTACTTCTGGGTCTAGCCGTCTAGGTTTGAATTATCAGTGTAGCCCCATAACACACAGTGGATTGTCTTGCAAGAGAAAATAGCATTTTATGAACTGAGATATGTATGGAGAGTTTTAAAAATCTGTTTAAAGGAAATGGAATATTGAAAGGCCATTTTGCGTACCGATGTTACCATCTAGCTGGAATCCAACAAATTCACTGGTAATGCAAGCTAGGTTCTGTAGGCTAAAGGACATACTTTAACCCTGAAATGAGTTTCTTGTGATGAGTATGGCTTAAAATCATTGTGTAATTTGTTCCTAATTAATAGATTTTAGGCAGTAAAAATTGTTTGATTAACCCTCATCTTCCTGTATATTTTCTCAACCATGCCTAGTCTTCTGTTAGATATATCTCTTTCCTGAAGCCAAGTGTATCAGTTGCTTTTTTTTTTTTTTTTTTTTTTTTTTTTTTTTTTTTTTTTTTTTTTTTTTTTTTGGTGTTGTTAATGTACCCAGTGGTAAGGCAACTGATTTTAAGATTGTGATTTGATGGAAGCTTGGTAGAAATAGAGAAAATGTATGAGATTGCTGTGACTGGTTCAGATGATGAGAAGATGTCTGCTGCTACTATATTCTGTGGGGCTTCTTTAACTCGTGGCTGGAATATACAGGTAAAGCATTATATTTTTTGACCTTTTGTGACTGTAGAGCAGAATTACTGATTAGTTGTGACTCCAAAGAATATACCAGATTTTCAGCTTTTGTTGTTGCGTTGTTTTTTTTTCCATTTGTGAAATCTTTTTGTAAATAGAGGGTGTGAGTTTTCTTCTTCATTTAAATTTATTTATGCGGATGCTTGGGAATCAATTGAGGTTATTTTAAGAAATTAGGCACCATCAGGGAATATGAACGCATTAAACGATTTTCTTCTCTCCCCACTTGATGACCCCCCCCCCCCAACCCCCTAAAATAATAAGTAATAACTGGTACTGTTCTAGAAACTAGTCTGGAGAGAGGTCTTTATTTCAGATGGGATATCTTCACGTGCTTTATTTTTTATGTACTCTGTGCATTTCCATTTCTGACTCATACTGTTTTCCTAATTTGGTTTTTCTTATGCTTGCAGGAGCACACAGTGTGTCTCATCACAAGACTGCTTTCGCCTGCAGTTCCTACAGACTTTTCTGGAAGTGAGAGCCATTTGATTGGTTATGCGCCATTCCTGAACGTTCTCCTAGTCGGAATATCATCTATCGATTGTATTCAGATTTTTTCCTTACATGGCATGGTAGGTTGGCTCGAGCTATTTATGCTTAATTTGAATATTTTATTTCATATAAAGAATCGGTGAAGTTCAGAATAACAAAAACAACTTTGAATTTGTAGATTTCTTTTTCTATAATATGCTCAAGGATATTGGAGAGACTATCTTCAAAAGACTCCTGAAACGTGTGTGATAATTGAGTATTAGTAACTAGACAACCAAGGTAGTAGTTTAACAAGTGCAATTTTTCTTTGAGTACCTAATGCATGTCTCTTTTCATATGTAAACAAATTTGCAGTAACTGAACATAGTTTTTGCATGGCATTTTAACAATTAACATTTATATGAGAGTTGAAAATCGATATGAGCACAATACTTGAAGGAGGGGAAGGTAAAAAGTAAATTAAAACACACTCCCCAGATTCATGGAAAACTCTTTGGACATTTTTTTCATTGTGATTATGTTCAACTTTCTTATAGGTTCCACAACTTGCCGGTTCATTGATGCCAATCTGTGAGGTCTTTGGTTCCTGTGCACCCACCATGTCATGGACTCTTGCAACAGGGGAGAAAATTTCTTCCCATGCTGTATTTTCTAATGCATTCACTCTGCTGTTGAAGTTGTGGAGGTTTGATCAACCACCTCTGGAAAATGTATCAGGAGATGTCCCTCCAGTTGGATCGCATATAACTCCAGAATACCTCTTATTGGCGCGCAACTCCCAGTTAGCATCATATGGGAATCCACTAAAAGATCAAAATAAAATCAAAAGACTGTCAAGATTTTCAAGTCCATCATCGAGAGAGCCAATTTTCATGGATTCTTTTCCGAAGTTAAAGTGTTGGTACAGGCAGCATCAAGAATGCATTGCTTCTATCCTTTCCGGTCTTGTACCTGGATCCCCTGTTCATTATATTGTTGAGGCCGTCCTGAATATGATGTTCAGAAAAATAAATATGGGAGGTCAACCGCTGACTCCTACAACTTCTGGAAGTAGCTCCTCTTCTGTGTCTGGAGCTGACGATTCCTGTCTACGTCTTAAATTACCTGCTTGGGATATTCTTGAAGCTGTTCCCTTTGTGCTTGATGCTTCCCTTACTGCCTGTGCCCATGGGAGATTGTCACCCCGTGAACTGACCACTGGTGAGTAACTATGTATACTATTAAATGGTTAGCATCTCATGCTTAGATGAACACTTGTGCTGTTGTATTAGGAAGGTGTGCTCATCAGAACTGTTTCAGATGCGCCGCGAGAGAGAGAAACATATTGCGTTTTATTTTGGTTACATGATAAGGCTTCTATTGCAAACTTTATTAGGCTTCTTTTCATTTTCTAACTTTCCTTCCATAAACATGGAAATATTGTTTAAGAACTGAACTACCACTTTTGACATCTAACCAATTAATACGTATGAATTTTATGATGCTAAAATTTAGAGATGATTGCATAGATGAGCTATCATATTCAAATTTCCACATGTACATCTCCTTGTTAAATTCAAGAGAAGTTAAAGTAGAATCTCTTCTTTGAACCTGCCTTTATGATATATTCTAGTTTTAAAAAGTGAATGTCTATCGTTTGAAATTTGTCTCATCTTGTTTAAATGTTGCTCATTTGTCAGCATTTGGTCTTTTTATTTGTTTTTATATAACATTTTTGTTGGTTTAATTACCTCACTGAATTTCTAGACAAATTGCTTTCTATTGCCATGTTGATGAAACAAAGCTCTGCTGTATCTTATCTCAGGTCTCAAAGATCTTGCCGATTTTCTTCCTGCTTCCTTGGCAACAATTGTAAGTTACTTCTCAGCAGAAGTGACTCGGGGACTTTGGAAGCCAGCTTTCATGAATGGAACCGACTGGCCGAGTCCTGCTGCAAATTTATCCATGGTTGAACAACAGATAAACAAAATCTTAGCTGCCACTGGTGTTGATGTCCCATGTCTTGCTCTAGGTACAAGTTGATTCAGTTTGCTTATGTTTAGCTGGTCATTTTGCCTTTAGATGTGTTGCTGTATTGCATGGTTATCTGTCATTTAGGCTTCACAGCTATTATTGTTCGATGGAATTTTGTAGATGAAAATAAAGGCATTGCATGATTTTTCCATATCAATGAAGTCATACTTCGGAGAAAGGAAATCCTTGAGTTTATATAGATGAACAATCCAATTTTCCCTAAGTCTATGGTACAAATTATGATGGAAATTTGTTCTACTTGTAGGGGTAAATTCTCCAATGACTCTTCCATTACCCCTGGCGGCCCTTGTTAGTCTCACAATAACCTTTAAACTTGACAGGGCTTCTGACCGTTTCCTAAACTTGGTTGGCCCAGCCTTGACTCACCTTGGCACAGGTTGCCCCTGGCCATGCATGTCAATAATAGCTGCCTTATGGATTCAAAAGGTAAAGCGATTGAATGACTTCCTTGTCTTCTCTGCATCCCGAACTGTATTCCACCACAACACTGATGCCGTGGTTCAACTCCTCAGAGCCTGCTTTTCAACAGTTCTTGGCCTCAATTCTTCTGTTGCAAGCAATGGTGGTGTAGGTGCCCTTTTAGGCCATGGCTTTGGCTCTCACTTTGAGGGAGGCATTTCTGCAGTCGCCCCTGGATTACTCTATTTACGAGTTCATCGAGCTGTTAGAAATGTCATGTTTATGACGGAAGAAATTTTATCTCTTCTTCTGCATACTGTTAAAGATATTGCAACTTGTGGGTTGCCTGCAGAGAAATTGGAGAAACTGAAGAAAACTAAATTCAGTTCAAAATATGGTCAGGTTTCTCTTGCCTCTGCAATGACTCAGGTTAAGGTTGCAGCTTCACTGGGGGCTTCTTTGGTTTGGATGACTGGTGGATTGGGCTTGGTTCAATCTTTAATCAAAGAAACACTTCCATCACGGTTTATATCAGTTCATGGGTCGGAGCCCAATGGGGAGGATTCAGGAGGCGTGGTTGCAATGCTTGGTGGCTACGCACTGGCATACTTCGCCGTCTTTTCTGGAATCTTTGCCTGGGGAGTTGACTTGACACCACCTGCGTGCAAACATCGGCCTGAAGTTGTCGGAAAGCACTTTGAATTCCTAGCAAGTGCCCTAGACGGAAAAATATCGCTTGGTTGTAACAAGGCTACGTGGAAGGCATATGTCACGGGTTTCGTGAGCTTGATGGTGGGATGCACTCCGATGTGGATGCTGGAGGTGGATGTACAAGTTTTGAAAAGTGTTAGTAAAGGATTAAAACAGTGGAATGAGGAAGAACTTGCACTTGCCCTCCTTGGAATTAGTGGGATCCATGCAATGGGTGCAGCTGCTGAAATGATTATAGAATCTGAATTTTGAATTTTGTTAGGTAATTTGCTCAGAAAATTTTAGTTTATTTAAAAGATTTCTACCTATGAGGAAACTTGTTTAATTAATGTAAATGTAGAGAGATGGAATATAGTTATGTATAGTTTGAAGTTTTGGTTTAATGTAATTTAACCATCTGTACATATGATTCTCCAGGGATTGGAGCAGATTTTTTATTTTTGGTTGGACATTAGATTAAATAATTAGGTCTATTTTGGCTTCAAACATGGTGTATAACTGTATTTCAATGTTTTTGCCCAATATTCTTTCTTTTATATTAGTCATCGGCATCCGCATCCGCATCCGCATCTTTGGCAAGATAGATTAAATGATACTGAATTTATGTGCTTAGCCGTGTTCGAACTTCATTCTTTAAAAACCCAATTTCCTTTTAAACTCTTTCAACCCCACATTCTCTTAATAAAATAATTTAAATTCAAAAATCTTCCATACTGTTTTTTATCGCATATTCTTCACTTCTACTAGAAGCAAAGCTTAAACATGAGCCTTAATTTTAAGTCCCGAGTCTCTTTCTCATCTCTTCTGTAGTGACTTTAATTGTTCGGCCCAATTGTTAGTAAAATAGCATGTTTTGCTTTATCAATAGCTCGTCAGATCTAACCTCTCTCTCAACTATTGATAAAAAATCGACCTCATGTGTTTGATTTAAAAAAGAAAAATGAAAAAAAATTATGTCATGCAATAACTGGCAAAACTATCCGATTTGGGACATTCTATATTTTTGGTGTTACGCCTATGAATTATCACTCCATATTGGGTCATCTTATTGGACCCGAGCTAGGCTCATTAGTGTTGAGCCCCAAAGCCGAGGCTCTGAGAAGGCCAACCGAGACGCAGCCGAGGCCCTAGAAGTCTAGCCGAAGCGCCTGTCGAGACGCCTATTATTTTGCTCACCTCGTATTAGGCTCAGACTTAGGCCCACTAATCCGTTTGGCCCGCTTCACATCCATTTCTCTATATATTCCTAGCCAAACCCCCATATCCATATTATTGCACTCTATATACTTATTTCCGTCCGGCCGTTGACTTGACCGTCGGAGTGCAAACGGTCGCCGGACATTTTTCTTGTCCGGCCGTCTTTGCCTCTTGACGGTGTGCTACATGCGCAGGTATCGAGGGGACGAGATTAGGGAACCTGTTGGAGCCATTTTTGGAGGTCAACAGATTGGCGCCGTCTGTGAGAAACGCTACGTTAACCATGTTATACCACATACCTAAAGGTCACCGGAAATTGAAAAATTTCCGAGCGACAATGTTCTACCAAAAGAGAGAAGACAGCAACCAGACAGGATGGGATTTTCTGGGAAGTCTCCTCTACCAAAACGATAGAGCCAGCCATCCAAAAAGAAGAAGAGTAACTTGTTGGAAATAAAGGGGCAACACAAGAATCTACTCATGGGAAAAATGAAGGCAGATCTTGAAAGGAAATTTTCAACATCAAATTGAAGAATTCAACCACAAGAATGCAGGGGAAGAAGGCAGCCATTTGTGTTGATAAAATTAAAAATATTTGATAGCATCTCCAAGCATAAATTCAAGGAAAAGGGAAGCCATTATTTCTCTCCAAATTTGAATTAAAAAACCTCTCTTGCAACTACTGACTCTCAATGATAATGGTTTTACCTGCCATTTTACTTCTTTCAAATATTTGGTTACAGGAAAAGATGGGAGCTCCAGTACAAATGAAAAGTAACTGAAAAATGAAAAGATAAGTACAGCTTGTTCCAATTAATGTTGCAAGCTCCGGTGACCACTTTGGAGGTAACCACCGGCATCACCAAGGACGAGAATGTCCAGCTTCGACTTTTGTCTACTGTCTCAACTATTATTGAAACCTCCATGACCTCCGACGACCACCATTATTTAAGTAGCTGCCACCCGCAACCCACCGGAAAATCTTCACAGCAAGGTCCTTGGCTAGAGCTCGAGTCTAGTTGTGTGCACATTAATGGTGATGGAGACAAGTCTGATGATGATTACTTTGCAAATGGTTCACGCCAGCTACTTTGTGGGAAAGAGAAACTGACTTTTCGGCCTAATTGGTACTTGTCAATTAACAGGTTGGGGAAGACATAATGATTATATATTGGTTAGTTATTGGGCCTCTTGGAAGAATTAATTGCTAGTTGATGGGCTTAGTAGATTGGGCAACTGTTTATGTAAAATTGGGCCCATGTTAATCTTTTGATTTAAAGTGACCAAAACCTTATTCTTTTAAATGGACCTTTTTAGCACATCTGTCCCAACTAATTTATGGTCTACAAAGATTTAATGGGCTTAAATTTTTGAACTTGATTGGACTAGCAAATTTATTTTATTGGGCCTCATAGCCTCCTTTTGTCTCAAAGATTAGGCTCAACTAGATACGTCAATTTCTTGGTTCTTTTTCTTGGGTTGGTACAACATATATTCTCACCTAAATCTATGAACTTTTCTGAAAGTAGGCTGTTCGCTTTGGGTTCTTGTCAGATATTTTAGCTTCTATCTATAAGCTTTTTGGTGGATTACTATTTATTATTTCATTGATTGGGCCTGCTACTTTTATTTGAGTCAACTGATTTAATTGGGTATATTGGATATTATTCTAAACTAACTCCTAGATTTATTTTCCATG